CGGTGGTCACTACCCGAGTCTTGTCACTATTATCAAGTCATAAATAGTAACAAGCACTAAAATGTAATCCTTTGATTACTGGAAAATCCTGATTCCCTAGTTTGAAGTTGTCACGACTAGGGTTCGGTGGCAGATCTTATACCAGTAACGCATCACAAAAAGGGTGATCTCCCAACGTTATTGGTTTGAAAAGATAAAAAATTACAAATTGGAACGAACTCACAAAGTTTAGCCAATTGAAGCTCAAGGCTGCCTGACATGTGTTGATGTAGTGGTGTTGGCAAGCCCTTTCGTGGCCAATAGTCAGGTTCAACGCTGCGACTAAACGAATGATAGAACTAATGATGAGACGAATGATGGGACGCCTCGTGGAGGTTCTACTTGGCTTCGGAACAGCTGCTCAGCGGCAAATAATAGGGACTGAGGAATTAGAAATTTTCTCCTGGGCCTGGTTTTGGCCAGATCAGCAACCGATTATAGATAATAATAAAAACTTCACGGAAAAAACAAACGTCAGGTTCGTGTGATCGATGCACAGCCTACTTCGGACAAACTTGGATCTACATTCTTATCAAAATTACAAACCTTATTCTTATATCTCAACTAAAAGTTTGCCGATCCTCCAGAGAAATCGTTCGATTGGAAGTTCTTGAACTTCAAGCTCTTCACAAAATTTAAAAAAATTCTGAAAACTGAAGCTAATCCAGATAGACATGAAACTATTGCAGCTCGAGGATTTCTAGGAAGTCCCAAAAGATCATGAATATCGTAATTTTCATAAAATCTAGAAACTGTTTTGTCTGTGCCTAAAAAAATCAAACATATTTTAATGCTAAATTTATTCACGAATCGAAAATTAAAAAAATCTCTCGAACAAGAGCTAGACGCATCAAAAAGAAACAAACAGGGCAAAATTGACGTTGATTACGTCAAAAAGCAATTTGACTGGTAAATAAATTTAAAAATGGGATGTGATCCTATATTCGGACAGTGTATACACACTTAGAAATAACTATTTTTACACGCGACGTAATCCATATTGGACCTTAACTCATGGAACGTAAACAAACATTCCATGTAAAATTCAGTGTTTTCAAACCGAAACATAAGCTACTCGACGAAGAGAACATTTCATTGAATTGATTTTCTCGTTTTTTTCAACTGATTCTTATATCAAAAGGACCGCTTACATGTGTCGGTCTCAGGGAACCGAAATTCACACGACTTTTTCGTAGTGTGTAGTGCAACAGCAGGAGCATCGATTGACACTGCACTGATAGCTCGATTTTGTTCTTACCTTTGTTACATTCGACGTAATGAAAATTTGTTTTTGAATCTATTTACAGCTTGAAGCTTGAATGAACATCTAGCCAAATTAGGTTCAGGTTTTACGGTGGATTTCGTGGAAGGCTTATCATAAAAATTGATAACAGGTTTATATCTATTTTTTGGCTATAATATATCTGAACCGCGAATTCCAAGCCAAACTCATCTGCCTGATTTAACAGCCGTAAAGTTTGTTTAAGAATTTGTTATCACAGCGGTTCAAATAGGGTTGAAATCGATGTAGAGCAGATAAACTATATGCGGACAACTCTTAGTCAAAACAAATAATGCAACTTTTTAATTCAGCCGGCGCCGGTGGTGTAGTGGTAATCGTGACTGCTTTCTCACCCCAATGGGACTGGGTTCAATCCCAGCCGAGGTCGGTGGGATTTTTCTGAGGCATAAACATCTCTGGTCACGTCTTCCTTCGGAAGGGAAGTAAAGCCGTTGGTCCCGGCCCATGTGTGTTTGAATGGGTGCGATATCCTACGCAGGTGTGGAAGCTGCCTTCCTGCACATTCGATTGCCGTCAATGGATGGCAAGCGATGTCCGTCGGTGATTGGGACTAGATTGCGGAACAGAGAACGACGTTAAACAAAGAAATAAAGAACAAGCGCAGGGAGTCGAATTATGGGAATTATGAGGTAATTTCGAAGGGTAGACAATTTCAAGCTGATTCTGAGAAGAATTTGGCGGTGATTGCAAGAAACATTGCATGTGAATTCCGAGGAGAATTTTAAAGGGAGGAGAATTTCGAAGGAGAATTTTAAAAGGAAAGTCTGAGAAGAGTTCATAGGAATCAGATTTCTGAGGATAGTCCAAAAATACAACTTTCATTTCATGACAAATTCAAAGAGAATCGAGTTCTGAGCATATTTCCAAGGAAATTCTGAAATTAATTTCAAAGAGCTTTCTCAGAAAACTTCAAGATGGTTCAAAGTGAATGATGAAGGTATTCGAATTCTGAGAATAATTCCAAGCGACGTCCAAAAAGACATGGAAGAGTTTGGAATTCTGAGAGTTGTTCCAAAAGAATTTAGAAGAGTATTCAAAGATATTTTTGAGAACTATTCCAAGGTAATTGCATGTAAATTCTGTGCAAAATTTTAGGCTGTTTAAGAAAAGATAAACATAGAAAAAATGCTGATGTGATTTTTACGTAATCTGTGGTAATTTACTATCTCTCCATTACTATACTAGTTATAGTTGCCTGGGAAATGTTTTTTTTTTGTAATTGTGAATATTTGTCATTTTGCACATTAGAAAATTTTGACACTCGTTATATTTTTGACGTATAACTACGTCTTTGTCGACAATATGGGGTGCAAATCAAAAAAATATGTGTGGTGAAATAATGTAAGGTTTTGAACGCTTGTAACTTTGTTATTTATAGATGAAATTTAAATCCAAATACGCCAATCGATAGAAAATTACTTTACAAATCTGCTTAAATAAATACTTTTCCAATTTTCTATAAATTTTTTTTGAAAAATGCGCAAATGATAATTTTAACAATGTTTAAATGAATTTTACGTTATTCCCAAACCCAGTCGTCATAATCGAGTACCAATTGGTTTAAAATCAATCTGCTTGAACCTGAAAAGATATAAAACAGCGCTGCTGTCGTGCTTTTGATCATTAAAGGAGGATCAAGGAGTGATCACCTTGACAAACAGCGATGGAAGGAGACTTGCGTCCCGTTCAACTAAGAGGCTGTTTATTAACTACGTAGACACCTTATTCACGGCTCATACAAAAAATGTATGGACAATCGCAGGGGGAGGGAGGTGGTGCAAGAATCCCAAAAAGCTGTCTTCGTAGTTAATAAACAGCCCCTAATACGAAACACAGAAAAGTTAAATTGGAGAACAAAACATATGAACCAAAATTTTGTTCAATATTGAAGGTACTGTCTTCTGATAAGGAAAACAACTGCCTGTTGCGTTATCATACAATGCAACCTTCACTCTCTTCTCTGCTTCAGAGACCTAATTTAAAACTAATAATGGAACTACTAAAAAAAAAAAAAAAAAATAACGCATTATTTAGCAATTTTTTAATCTCACAACATGCATAACGTCTTTGTGGACTATACTGGGGTGCTACTCCATGGACCATAACCGAAACCTTGAAATACTTGAAAAATTTAAGATAAAGTATAATAGTCAAAAAATGCATGACATACATCAACTTTGCGTAGTTCTGCATCATACTGCGGTCGTGTCTAAGACACAACCCTTTTATTTTTTTAAATTCTAGAACAACCTTATTACCGAGAGGAGCGACACATCTAAATCTCAATTCTAGATGCTCAAAAATCTTACACTAGCGAATCAATCTGGGAAAAATCTTCTTTCATTTCTCGCTTCTACTTGCATCGTGTATCATCTTTTTGTAGGAAATCTTCAGAATCGTCATCAATCTTCTTTCTATCTACTCATCGTGCGCATAGCTAGCCACAGCAAAACACAATCTTTACTACATAATAGATAGAGTCGTCTCCCTCGCTTATTACTGAAATTTGTGGGAAATGTAGAATCTCAAAAAATATTTTCCAAAATTCTGGGCCCTAAAAACTAGCTTGGAAATGATTTCTCAAAGTAGAATTCTCCTTCTCATAACCAGTTCATTCGAAACGCAGAAATGTTTTTATTTATGTTTTTAATTATAATGTCATCATGTTGTTCCTAAATTGGAAACATTATGATACAAGTGACCCACATCAGCCATTATGGGCAATGGTTTCACGTTTATTCAACATAATTCACGAACATTGATTTGCATGCTGCGATAATACTCGCATCATTGATTTACCTAGCACTATTCATAACAATTTTCGACACCCGCGAAACGAAACCGAGCCATAAACGGGTAGTCATGCCGGCCATGCCATCCCCTGAGTTAATTAGGTACAATCAAACACGGCGGTCCCACCGATCGCGATGATCGAAGAACTTTCCGATAGTCGCACTCTAACCTCAAACTCATCAGGCCCTGTGCTGCTCCGGCATCAGCTTCGAAGCTGTGAGCAAAATTAATGATAACCATTTTCTCCAATCACTGAGCGTCAATCGCTTCGTTTTTTACGTTTTCTTCTTTTCCTAAATTTTAAACGATCACTTTAGAGTCAGCCCACGATCGTCAGGACCCGAGCCGCCGGCACGACATCTTGGCTGATGCTGCCCATGGGCACTTGCAATTCTTCAGGGAAAAGAGCTCTTCCTCCAGAGCCGGCTCAAAAGAAAAATAGGAAAACGAAGTAGCGAGAGGGTAAATCAGAAGCGCTCACAGGTTTCAGTTACGACCAATGATCATTAATTGAGACCCACAGCATTGGGGCATATCTTTTTCTTCGAACCTTCTTTAGTGCAGCGGGGTAAAAGTATTGTACTCGTTTCGACATTCGATTCCAACGCTAGATATATGCAAGTTTTTGTTCGGCTGCCATCGTTGTTCTTCAAAACAATTCGATCGCACGGTCGTGGTGAAGGGGATCTTCACGGGTTCCACTCTCATGGGAAAACTATCGTCAAATGTTGTTGACCGTTGCCCCGTGGTGTATGACCCGGTCTTTTATCGGGTCCGGCTTAGGTGTCGGTGCATTTACCGCAAGAGCTTAGAGTTCTCCTTTGATAATTTATGCCTTTCTATTGCTTCTCTGGTCTAATTTCAGATGTTGAAACTACTGATAGCGGCGTGCCTGGTGACGCACGGCCTTGGACGACCCGATGTTTCACACATTTTGAAGCGGGATAATCAAAGCGGTCAGCAGCAGCAGCATCCGAATCATAGGGCCTTTCATCCATTAGACTATCTCAATCGGCAGTTGGGAAATGGAAGACAGTTTGAAGCGCGGGCTGCTTTCGAAAGTGAGTACAATGTATTCGATTATCTGACAGCAATTAATGGAACGGAAATTAACGGTCTTGAAGGCAAGTCATCACCCACCATAGGGAGACGCAATGGTGCCAGGTCGTTTAGGAACATCGTGAAACCTTCTCCGTTTAAGAAGAATGCGGCAGAATTTGGATACACTTATGAAAAACCTGTGGATCCATTCGATTTTCCGATTAATCCGGATGCCAATCTGATTAAACCGGTGTCGACTCAAGCTCCTGAGTATTTACCTCCTCTGGAGCAAGGCCCTCTTGCTGGCGCAGATGAGCAGCCGGGAGCTCCTGGTAGTCAGCGTCCAACTGGACAGAGCGTAGTTTCAACCACTTCGCCATCATACCCTGAATTAGCTCCTGGAGCAGTGAGTACTGAAGGATCTTACGGCAGCCCTAGTGATGCTACGGGGACTCCAGAATCACCCGCAGTTCTTAATCAAAATGGTTACAGACCACCAGTGCCAGTGACTGGTGGCGATCAAGGCTCATCGCCATCACCAATTGATATCTCCAACCAACCAGATTTTACGTCAACCTTAGCAACACAATCTCCTCAGAATGCTTATGACCAGCAAGGATCTACAATGAGACCAAATGAACAAACTACCGCTGTGAGTTATCCTGAAGAATTTAGTCCTGACCTCAAACCTACGACGGAAGGTGAGTTTACCGGATATTCTTATGGGCCAAGTTCAACACCTGTACCAGCTGTTTCAGCCACTGGCTTTCCCCAAGCTTCTCCAGAAAATCAAATGACAACCGGGGCCGGTTTTACCGGATACCCTCAGGGACCAAGCTCAAGTCCAACACCTGATCAGGGATCTTTTACAACCGGTTACCCACAAGCGTTCAGCCCAAGTCCCAATGGTCAACAAACAACTACCGAAGGTGAATTTATCGGGTACCCTCAACGTCCAAGTACAACTCCTTCTCCTGATCAAGGATCTACGCCTGGGCCTTTTGTATCTTCAACCGGTTATCCACAGGAACCTAGTCCAGGCATAAACGGTCAGCAACCTACATCCGACAACCAATTCACGGGATACCCTCAAGGTCCTAGTACAACCCTATCACCTGATCGAGAACCCACATCAGGATCTACTCCATCCTCAACTGATTATCCCCAAGAATCTAGTACGAGCTCAAACGGTCAACAAACCGGATACCCTCAAGGACCCAGTTCATCTTCACCACCCGAGCAAGGATCGTTCACTCAGGGATATACACCTGGACCAGCTCAATCCTCAACTGGTTACCCAGAAGGATCTACTCCAAGTCCGAGTGAATTCACTGGATACCCTCAAGGTCCTAGTTCAACTCCATCACCCGATCAAGGATCATTCACACAGGGATCTACTCCGAGTTCTGCTGAATCCTCAACTGGTTACCCACAAGGTCCTAGTCCAAGCCCGAACGGGCAACAAACTGTAACGGAAAATGAATTCACCGGGTATCCACAAGGGCCCAGTTCAACTCCATCACCTAGCGTTCCTGGTGCTGCGCAAATGACATCCAATGGATATCCTCAGCCCCCAGCATCGAGTCCTTTGAGTGAAAATGCTTCTACTCAAAAGCCAGGTGCCGACTTCACTGTTTCGACACCAACACCTCTGACGACTGTAGGAGGTCATCTGACAACTCTGCAGATTTTCGACGATCAACAAGGCTACAACTACGAAAAACCCATGCTTCCACCAAACCTCACCGAAGTGATTGGAGAGCCTATTGATATCAACGAGTTGGCTACTACAACGCTACCCTCTACCACGACTCGAAAGCCCAGCAACGGATACATCCTCCCACCTAAGCCACGCCCTGAGTTAGTGGTTCCCATAGAACCAAGCACCGCACAAACTCCAGGGCAAACCGTACCACCGGCAACATCCTCGGTCGAAACGACATCTCGCCCAATCTCGCCCGAGCCTGTACCATCATCGACTTCCGCTCCGGAATATCTCCCCCCAGAGGACGCTAATGGACCAGAACAAGCGTACGGTACTACTCAGAGACCTTCGGCTGATCAAACTGCCTCCACTGGAGCACCATCACCTGGTGATACGAGTGAATCTATTACAGCAGCAGGATATCCTAACTACAGTCAGGATGCGACTACTTTTGCTGGTTATCCAGGTTCCGAGCGTGAAACCATGACTTCATCCAGCTATTCTGGACCGATTGAGGAAACTACTACTGTTTCCGGATACCCAGACTCAAGTCAGGAAAGCACGACCTTCTCTGGCTACCCCAGTGCGAGTCAGACAACTATTAACGCTTCCAGTTATCCAAGTTTAAGTCAAGAAACCACCCCTGCTTTCAATTATCCAAGCTCTGTTGGACAGGAAACAACCACTTTTGGTGGATACCCAAACGCCGAAGTTTCTACGCCTCATTCCGGAATCTCTACTGGAGCCCCTGAATATACGACTCCATCTAGTCCTACTCCTTCTTCGGACTACCAGACTACTGCCGGATCCAGTGGCCCATTTGCTCCGGAGTATTCGACAGGTGCTGGTCAGCCTTCAACCTTGGAACCATTCGATGACATCTCTGCTGGAGGCCAACCATTCCCAACCAGACCAAACTACGAATCGGTTCAGTCTACAACTTCTTCTGGTGCTACTGAACAGCCTTCTTCTGTAACTTCGTCAACGGCAGCTCCCGAGTACCTTCCTCCGAATGCTAACGACACTTCTAGTCAGTACTATCCTCCTGCGGTCAACACGACAGCAGACCAACTCAGTTCAACTCCTACACCAGCGTACCGTCCAGAAATCTCATCCGATAGTCAAGTCAATCAGACAAGTCCAGATGTCCCAGATTACACCGATTTCAGCCAAGTAGCACAGCCAACCGCACCACAAACCCCAACGAACGGCATGGCCATTACATCCGAAATCAACGGTTTTATGCCGGACAGCGGCTACCTGCCACCTGCTGGTCTACGGATTGTGGTTGACGACACATTATCCTCCAATCTTTTCCAGCCACCATCCGGTAGGTCTAGCATTGCGGCGCCTTCCCACCGGCCTGTCCCGGAGTCGGATGCCGAGGGTTCCGAGTTGCAGCCTCGCTTGGCCTTGGTGGCGTCGACGAGTGAAGGCTATAACTACCAGGCGCCCGAGGAGAGACTACCCGCTCCCGTGATACCTTCGCATACGCTTGACGACGAAGGTTACCACTACAAGATTCCTAGTATTCCTTTCCCTTAGTTTAACGCTAGTACGAGTCGGGTCAATTCACCCCGGAGAAGAAAAACCTATTCATCAAATCCGACTCCATAAGCTTCCAATCAAAATCATAGTTCATATTTGTCATCCAAAATTTTGTGATTAAGAGACAGCGCGATGCCGAACAATGTGACCTTATACTTTGAACGGGAAACTGGACATGACCACAACTGGACAACTGACCCCGGTTCCTATAGCGCCAGATAATTTATTTATTTTGTTTTTCATCGGTTAGCTTTTTTCTCTTATCATAAAAGATCTACGTCTTTTCCCATGCCATCATCGTTTGCTGTTTTACACTTGAGGTTTTCGGGGGTTGGCGAATTCCCTTCGTGGCGCGCATTGCAGAAAGCATGTACCGTAATGCACCGAAATCCGGACACTTCTAAAAGTTGATTATCCAGGCCAAATGTGATTCAAATGTCACATACATTTAATGATGCGTCCAATGGCGTCCTCGTTGTTCATCTCACATGATTATTATGTTGCCAAGTGGATGTTATGTTTAATTGAAAATTAAATGTTCGGATTGAAAGGCCGTCCGTAATTCGGTGCATAACGGTACCTACCGTGGGTTGGTTATGCAATCATTAACCGTTAGCTGGAACAATCGATTTCGACGACGACGGCGACGGCGATGACGAAGTCGGTAGTTCGCATATGTTTTGGATTTTTTGGACGGACTGGGAGCCAAAGGAAAAGAAGATGCACACACTCGTGTGGCTGACTTGCATGGCTGCAAAGAAGAAAGAAACAAAAGGAAAAGAAGAGGCGCAGCGGTAGCTAACTTGAATCAATTGCGCTAGGGAAATAATCGATGATAGCGTTGAATAAGAAGCTTACATTACATATTGTCGATATTGGTATTTTATGATTTGCCGTTGCAGTGATAGTGAATGCGGAATCCACAAACGGTGTGCTAGGTGAGGAATTTTTCCAAAAATAAAAACAAAAGCAAAACTTGTGAAACTGCGTTATTCTAGTCCCGTGTTACTATTTTCTACATACCGCTTATTTTTAGGATCGGGAGTTTTTTTTTAAAAGGCCAGCTACCGAAGTTTGTTTTTTGTATATAAGGAGCTCGGTAACCCTTAAGGTGACCGTTTTTGCTTACTGAGCAGAAAATCATGGGTTCATTCCCAAGCTCCTCTCTATTATACAGTTTGACGATCTCATCACTTTCCATAATGAATCCAGATCTGATTTACCCTTCCTACTTGCAAACATCCTTCCCGTGAGAACTGCGAAGATGCAGAACCAACCTTGGTCTACAGTAACAATGGTTGTCCAACTAATATTCCTTCCCTTCTTCAATGACCGCAAGGACGTGGCCGGTGCCATTGTTGACAAACAAAAGTAATGAGTTTCCAAAAATTATACATTGAGGAATGCACAGCAAATCCCAAGCTACATTAATTTTGCTAGCATTGTCAATCATAGCAGCAACTACGATGTGTGCGATTATTCAAGCTCATCATTTTGATCAGCAGTGCCGTACTACAGTTTTCTGAAAAATTTCGAAGACACTATTTTGAAAATTTTACAAGATTTAAAATGGTCGAATTTTAGCAAACAATTATGCAAAGTCTCATGAAAATCGGAGAAGGTCGAGATTTTCCGATCCGTAATTTGGCGTGGAACTGCTCATTGGAGTTGTCCTTAAATTCCGGCTTGAGTTTTTTTTTTTAATTATTGGCAGTAGACTGATGCAAAATTTGAAATTTCCACTCCACAGTGCTCAAATTGTGCCCTGATTAGCCTCCCAAAATTTGAACTAATTTAGTGAGAAACTGACTTGGCACAAACCATTTGAAGTTTATATGGGAATTACTATGGAGAAACCATAATTTCCGTTCATATCTATTTGAAAATTCACCAGTTCACTCTACTTTAGAAAATGATAGATGTGCTTGTTGAAAATTTTCTCAGCTACAACTTTTTTACAACATTATCTGAGAATTCAATTGCGAGCAAACAGTTGCATTTTTATGAGCTCGTAGTCAGGTTTCAAAATGGGGGAGGGGGTATTTGTTTTAATGAGTAATTTAATCGAAATTAAATTTTCTGTCAATCTGCATAAGTATTTTTCAAATTTGCATAATGTTCAACTTCAATAAGTAAATTTTCCATTTTTTCCTGGAATTTTAATTTTTTTTTTCAGTTGTGCGATACACATTTAACACATTTAAATTAAGTATAAAACCGAATGCAATTGGGTTCTTTAAGGGTATTGAGGTAAATGCATATTCGTTATCTGCATTAAAAATGGAACCCAAACCCAAAGTTTCATAAATGTTGGTACACTGGAACTATTTTAAATAAGTACGATTACATTTGCAAAATCAGCTTATTCGCGCTCCTCAGTGTCACTTTGCATGGGAGCGAGCTGTCAGTTTGTCAGTTTAGTGTCAAACAGTGAAGTTATTATTTTGCTTTATATCTTGATTTAAAAATCGAGATGAAAGTGTGTGGGTTCGAAAAAATATCGCTGTGCTCAGAAAATGAAGCTCTTTCAGATGATAAATAAAAACGGATATATTTTTTGAAATTAAAGAACCCAATTGAGCTGATATGATCACTTTGTAAAATAAGCCATTAAAAATGTAGCGAAATTTGTCTATGTTTTAACTATCTTGAAAATTCACATAGATCTCTTAACAGGATTCTTCGAAATGTTCTCATGATTTTTTTCAACATCATTTCCTTTCACTTAGTTCTATTATGAATTCATCTAAAATACGTTTGAAAATTTCTTTGGAAGATTAAATATTCTTTATAACAGTCCAGAAATTCTGTATAGATCACTCCTAACAAAATTTTATTGGAAATTCGCTTGATTTCTTCATAGAATTTTCATGCAATTTCAAAAAAGTCTTAAAACTCTGCTCAGAATTATTTATATTAATCTCGACATGCTCTTGGAATTATACATGGAATTTCCTGGTAAATATTCTCAGAAGTTCATTGAAGTTTTACTCTCTCATGAATCGATTCCTTTGGTATGATTCTCAGAATTTCCTTGGAATCCTCTTCACAATTCACTTGAAATTGTTTTTGAAAAGCCTGGTAATTTAGGCTCAAAAATAAATACCGTCTGAATATCCTTCGTATTATCATCAGAAAACGCTCGAGAAATGCTTCTAAGAACTTGTTTGGAATTTTCAATCGAAATGGACCAGGATTTTTTTTCGCAATCGTAATGGAACAGAACAACCACAGGATTGAATTCTGAACTCTCCTTAATTCACCTGGAGCTCTTCTAACAGCTATTGTGGAACTCATCCTACATTTGACTTGCTGTTCTATGCAAAGTTCTCTGGGAGTTCTTTTCATATGGTATTTATGGTATGGTATGCTATGGTATATTGGTATGCTTCTTAGAATTCCCTTGGAATTCTCTTTACAATTCACTTGAAATCGTTTTTGAAAAGCCTTGGAATTTGTCCTTGAATTATTTTGGAAGCATACTCAACATTGAATGCCCTCCGGATATCATTCGAATTATCATTAGAAAACTCTCAAGAAATCTTTTAATTTTGTCGAACCTCTTAACGGAATCCCTTTATGAGTGTGTTGACTTATTTCCTTTTAATTCCGTTAAAATTGCTTATCTTTTAACTTTTCGTCTACTACTTGTATAATTCATCAGTACCAAGTACTCAACACCACCAGTGGTGTCAAAAGATAAGCAATTATAACGGAATTAAAAGGAAATAAATCAACACTCTCAAAAAGCTCTACATCTCAAGCAATGATTCTCAGAACTTGTTTGGAATTTTCATTGGAAATGGACGAGGAATTCTATTCACAATCGTCATGGAATTTTCCTCACAACAATGAAAGGATTCAATTCTTAAATCTCCTTAATTCACCTGAGGCCTCTTCGAACAGTTACCTTGGAACTCTTCCTTCAATGGAAATTCTAAGCCTTTAGGAAAATTTCGAGAAATTAAGAAAAAATCAGCGATCTACATGAATGTAAAGTGAATTTCAAGAAAATTCTACGAATTTCAGTAAAAATTCTGGTACCTTAAAGAAAGTTCAGTAAACTTTAGGAAACTTCAGGAATATTCCAAAAACTTCTGAAAATTTCAATAAACCGGTTGTAAATTTAGAAAAATTCAGGAAACTTTTGTTAATATGAATAAAATTCTGCGAGCTTCAGGAAAATCCAGCATTTTTTGTAAAGCTATACAAACTTCAGGAAAATTTTGCAAATTTCAGGAAAAATCTGGAAATATCATGGAAGTCTGGAAACTTCAGGGAAGTTTGTGAGCTTCAAGCAAGTAAACTGTATAAATTTTCAGAAAATTATACTAAATTATAGAAAGTCTGCGAGCTTCACGGAAATTTGTAAACCTATGTGAAGTCCGCGAATTTCTGGGAAAATCTACGAACTTCAGAAGTATTTCGTCGATTTCAGTGGAGTTAATGAGCTTCAGGAAAGTTTTGCGAACTTCTGAAAATTTAAATGAACTTCTGGAATGTTTTGAAAAGTTCAGAAAAATTTCAAGAACTCCAAGGAAAATTCTGCAATTTTTTGGAAAGTTTAGATTTTTTTGAAAGCTCTGCAAACTTTACGAAAACTCTGCTTATTTCAGGAAAAGCTAGGAAACTTCAAGTAAGTCAACGTTTTTCAGGAAAATTTTCTTAATTCAAAAAGTCTGTGAATTTCAAAAATATTCTGCAAACTTCAGTAAAGGCGGAGAATCCCATGAACATTCTGAGAACTTTAGTAAAGTCTGCTGGAAAATTCTGCGAACTTAAGGAATTATCTGCAAGTAACAGGGAAGTCTACGAACTTAAACAAATCTTTAAAATAATACCGGATCTACCTGAGGTCTTGAAAAGAAATCCCGATGACTTTAGGGAGGCCTATGATTATCTGTTGTTTTTTTTTTTTAAATAATTTTTGATCATCCTAGTCTAATGGGTGAACATGTGAGAGACTTGATTTAAATTGTCGGACAGTCCTGATAGACCTGATAAACCTGAAAACTTGGAAAAATATCCCGAAGATTTCAGAGAAATAATTTCTGATCATACCGGTGAATATCTGAGAGACGCTACTTGAGGACAGTTGCAGATTTTCAGAATAAAACCTGAAGAATATATTCTGCACAGCAAAAAATAATTTTGATATCACATCATTGCCGATGCACTTCAATCGTGTTCAACATATGGTGTAATATTACTTCCTAAAAAGGACAAAAATATCATTAATATAATACATGAACTGACATTACGCCGCTTTTACTGCATTTTTATTTTTGTGGCCATATAAATTACATGAGAATTTTGACATTATTGAAGTGCATCCTCTTGAATGTTACCCTAAAATTTATTTTTTGCTGTGTGAAATAAACTTCGGAAAAATTCTTCTCAGAACTCTAGAAAAGTTCTATCCACAACATCTGGTAAGTTTTTCCCAGAACTGAAGGGAAGTTCTTCCCAGAATTTCAGAAAAGTTTTTCCCAGAACTCCAGGAAAATTCTTCTCAAAACTTTAGGGATGTTCTTCCAAGACAATCAAAGAAAACTTCAAATACTTCAGGAAAGCTCTTCGCAAAACTTCAAAGAAGTTCTTCCGAGAACTTTAGGGATGTTCTTCACAAAACTTCAGAAAAGTCCTTCTCAAAACTACAGAAATGTTCTTCGCAGAACTCCAGGAAAGTTGTATCCAGAGCTTGAGAGAAGTTCTTCTCAGGACATCAGAAATGCTCTTCCAGGATGTTTGAGAAAAAACTTTAGGAAAATTTTTCCATGAGCTTTATGGACGATCTTTCCAAAACTATAGGAAAATTCTTCCAAAAGCTTTAAGGAAGTTTTTTTTTTTCATATCTGCAGGGAAGTTCTTCCCAGAATTTTAAGGAACCCAAGTAACAATACAAGCTGAACATTAAGAACAGAAGCTGATTTAAGGTGTACAAAGCTGATTAACATCAGGCTGAATATATAGTTGATTAGTAGTGCATCCCCGAATTGTATCCCCATAATCCAACCTCAATAGGTTAGCTGATCCAAAGGTTGAACAAGCCTTATTTAAGCTTAACACACTCCACAAATCAGCAATGCGTTACACATATTTTGATAGCTTGATTTGTTAAATGTCGTCAGTGTCTGTGTCACTCGTTGCATGTCCGGCATTTTAGTTCTACTAAGTTCACTGCCTACCTTTCTAATTACAGGCAAGTGGCAGCAGTAGAGTCAAGGAAAAGGAGATTTTTAGGAATAGTTCCAGGTAGAAGTTGTCGGCGAGGACGTCGGAAGTATTAACATTTGTACTCCTGTTCACCACTTTATGTTGTACTGAATTTTCAGACCGCATTCCAACAATATTACTCAATTATGGCACTAAAATAGCATCCAAATGACCATCAAAATAAATCGCATGCTTGTGTCCACATTGTGTTAAGTGCACTTGAAATGAGAGGAATATATGTTTAACTGTCCCCAGTTGTTACTTGCAATTCTGCATTGCTGTATAATAC